CTACTACAGAGATTTTTTCAAAAAACAGTAATACTTTGCCCAACCCGGTAATCGAACTTGAGACCCCTTGCCCGACAGTCGCACTTGCGACCACTCGGCCAACGAGGCAGGCTTATCCAATATGATGTAAAATACAAATATCAAAAAAAAATATTATTTACATATACTGGTTCTGTCTTCCACCATTAGCAAGGCGAGACAACATCTAACGCCCCTAGTCGCAACTTCCATTTAACTTCGTTTACGTTAACCGGTGCAACAAGGGCTGCGCACGCGCATGCGAACTTGACATTGTCTATTCTCGCGCCGGAAGCCGCCCGTACACGCCGGAAACGGCCGCCCTTCAAAGGGGTAACATTGTTTCGGAGAACGTAAGCGACAAACAAACACATTTGTACTCACAGTTAATTTCGTAATAAACTTTGGTCTTTCCGCTTAAAGTAAACTGATACATTGTTGCATTGTTTCAGTCGAAATGCACATACGTGGGCACCTGGAATAAAACTAAATTCCGTTTTAGAACCCATTTACTGCCTGAAATACTAAATGTGACTTCAAACCCCTTCTCATTAGTTCCCCAGGTCCTGTGCAGTCATGAGGCTCTTGTCCGCTAATGCCAAAAATATATATTTTTTTTTATAGCATACGCAGACGGATCACCTTATGGTAAGCAATCGGCGCCGCCCATGGACACTCGAAACACCAAGGCGTTACAAATGCGTTAACGGCCTTTTGGGAATTGGGAATTTGAAGATGTGGAGGATTCGGGGATTCGGGAGATGGGGACTAGGGAGGGGGGTAATTTGGCCTCCGGTAACCTCACTCACACGACGAAACAACGCAAGTGTTGCTTCACTTCGGTTTTCTGTGACGCCGTGGTATCACTCCGGTCGAGCCGGCCCATTCGTGCCGAAGCATGGCTCTCTCACACTTAAAATTCAGTCAATCAATTCAGAATTGTGACATAGATCCACTGAAAAGTTTACTGCATCACGTATAAAATATAGACCCCTTACTAACAAAACGAATGACTCAATAAGAGTACTCCATGATGCAGTTGATTAAATTTATTCGTAAATTTATAAAAGTCTCACTATCTAAAAAGCCTTCTATCCAACAGTTTTACCACCACAAAATGTTCCGAACGATCCGCTCCACCTAATCACTACCACTGTTATATTATAATAAATACACCAATTAAATTAATAAACTTCTTCCTACTCCTAGCCAAGTCGTGAGAGTCTGCGACCACAGATGATCAATATTATCATCCAAACTTTTGTGCTACAACAAGGGAATATCAAAAGGACCAATTTGAACAAAAATTAAAATCTCTCTTATGATAATTATAACAATGTGCTTCGATAGATATTGAAAAATATTTATAAAATATGAAAAATAAACTAAGCCACAAAGGTAATATTTATCACATAGGTAATTTTGTCTCAGTTTTTCTATCTGCAAATTATGCACATACATACCTAGTAATTTGAGTACGGAATGTGTCATCTAAAGGGATCAACTAAATCAACTAAAGGGCTGTGGATTTAACTTAATACTTTTTTTGGTTAAAATAAATGAATAGTCTTCACATTCACATATTAATGTGTTGTGTTAGTATCTCCCTAGTAAGTAAGAATGTAGATACCTACCCTTTCGTGGTACTTCTGAAATCTTCCTTCTGCGTGTGAGGCATTGTGTAGCCATATGCGATGGATGCAGTGCGTGCACGCATCTGCCCGAGATTCCCACACCCCGCCATTTTTTTGATTACGGATGTACTTACGTAATGCCGAATGATGAGGATTGTTTTATTATAACTCGGAAGTTGAGACAAGATGCGAGGAAGAAAGGAAGTACTTCTTTGATGTTTATTCCTTTCACCTAAGTACTTTCGCAAGTAAACACACTGCACACATACTTCGTTCATTATAAACTATGTATGGTTTGTCATAAACTACGGTAAAGAAAAACAGAACAAATCTCAAATCATACAAAAAAATAACAATCTACTGTAATATAAAATGTAATCGGTGACCTCAAGGTACACCAAACGGATGTCTAACGTGCATCCAAAAAGAGCAATTCAAATAAACTTTATTACTTAGTAAAATATTTAACTACATATTTCGCAACAACAGCAATACATACTTGTATTAGGTACCAACTGTTGTTGCCTACACACTATACAACCATCGACACTGACCTCAAACGAGTTTGTGAATAAACGTTATTTATTATTGCACATTAACAACGGAAACGTAAACAAATAAATAAAAATAAATTATCCGACATGAATTAAAAGACATCGACATTCTAACAACTTTAAGGTAGGCGTGATTCGATACGCCAAAAACGAATTTGTTCGAAATACAAAAATATGCGAGTTGCACAGGTGGCAAATCTCAGAGTTCCCACAGATCACAATAGATTTTTTTATAAGACCACGCCAAGTGGCATCTCGCCTCTCATAGAGCCAAAAAAAATAATGAGGTTAGGGATGGTATTACAGGAGTAGTGTGGGTTATATCGACAGGCATTTGGGCTAAAAATGATTTACAGCCACTTAGGTCAATTTAAAGGTTTTCGGGAATGTTTCTATTACCGATTGATTATCCAGCTCTCTGTCGTGTTTAAGAAAACATTATGTGTGGATAGACACAATGTTTCACCGATGACAAGTACTACCTAGATACCAAAATTGTCAATCAACCTTATGGTTCCCTACAATATACTATGTATGCACACTCCCAAGTGTTACGTTTCGTTACTAAAATAAGCGGAAACTCGAGCCTATCTGAGTACCTACTTAATTCTTATTGTAGAGATATATCTCATGCATCTGCTGTTTCCAGTGCTCCGTGTATTTATCGAGACATCGATAAATCGATTGATATCAAAAGCACATCTCTAAAAGTCGATACGTAATAGTTCCGCACTCCCATACATTATGACAGCAATCGAAACGGGAGCAGCGCGACACAATGGCGTACGTAAATACACGGAAACAGAGCTAATGAAGTAGGAACACGAACTGGCGGGAAAACATGTACTTATTATACTTGCGTAATTAACCGCCCACGTCAGTATTGTCTTGTCAGGCTGCTGTAGCATTAACTCAAGTCTAAAATACTTGGTAAACTTTTATGGAGACAGAGAGAGGTTGCAGTTTCCTTTGTTTGCAGTTTTACCTATTTAAAATTTAGAATTGTAATGACGCTGCTCATGTTTTAAGTCAGCAAAAATGGTTGGTCTAAATTATTGTCGTTGAAATATTTGTCCATTAAAATAGGCAGATAACAATAAATACGTGGATCGAGTAACGCCTGAAAGTGATCGAGGAACTTCGATCGTTTTTGAGAATGCTCAACTGTTTTTGATCAGAAGCTCGATCAGAAGATCAAGCACGCCTTTGAACGCCCCCGAAGATGATCGAGTGATCTTAAAAATAATTGAGCGTTCTCAATCACTTTCGAATGGCTTGAAAACTAAGGAGCTTCCTTGATCACTTTCATGTTGGTTCGAAAAGTAAAGTGTGTGTGTCTGTTTATTTGTCTGTGTTTCATGGCAAAGAACGACAAAATATTGATGTGGTTTAGTTTAAGGCATGGCTACCCTTGAGATGCGGACTATTTGTGACTAACAAAAAAAATCGAGCTTCACTATTCTTCATTAAAACATTACGCTACGACTGCGACTAATAGGAGCCGACCATCAGGTAACACTGCGAAGGTGTAACTAGTAGTAGATAAATAAATGACGCCCTGCTCTCTTTCTTACCTAATCAGGATGAGTAATCGACAATACATTGTTGTGGATTACTTTGTTCGCATTTTGTAATGCAACAACAGCTATGATTGAGCAAGACGAAGGTGACACCTTCGATGATCGTTCAGACAAACAATCGGTAATCATTGCTGAATGATTCATTAGTCACGCATCATTAACTCGTAATAGGTAAATCGATACTCGTATTGTTTAATATCGGATGCAATGATCGTCAAATGTCAGTCAAAGGGCACCATAAATAAATGCTCTAAATTTATGCCCTTGATATGAAAAGCCATAAAACTAATTATTAGGTATCAATAATCTAAGTGTGGGAGAGCCATGCTTAGACACGAATGGGCCGGCTCGACCGGAGTGATACCACGACCTTACAGAAAACCGACGTGAAACAACGCTTGCGTTATTTCGTTGTGTGAGTGAGGTTACCGGAGGCCCAATTACGCCCTTAGGGGGGGCTTCCTCAATCTCCCAATCCCTAAATCCCCAACGATCCACAAACTCCTAATCCCCAAAAGGCCGGTAACGCACTTGTAATGCCTCTGGAGTTCCAGATGTCCATAGGTGACGCCGATTGCTTACCATCAGGTGATCCAACTGCTCGTTTACCGGCTTATGTCATGTACCTAGTTGTTTTATTTTACGAGCTTTCAGTTCACCACTATTCAAAACTTCCTAGTTGAAGGTATGTTTAGTTTTCAGGACGAGTGATGAATTTCCAGATTCCGCTAAAACTTCTAAACATTTAAGATGAACATTTTAATAATTGACCCACTCAAAATGAAAAGAATATTATTCGGAACCCTTCAGTCGGTTGCAGGCACAATAATATTGTAATTAGGTACCTACAAATAATAATTATAACAGTATGTTTACCAGACTTGGAGTTTGCAACGACATCTATCTGTTGTGGTAGTAAGTGTCAGTCTCTTGCTTCAATCATGATTTGGTGGCAGCACAAGAATTGAGGAACCATTGAGGAACATTGAATTTGACATTTTCATTTCAAATGACATTGACAATCAAAAATAACATTACAAAAGAAAACATTGAATTGATGTCTAATCTGTATAATAAGAATATGTGAAATGTGAAGATGGTTGAATTTATTATTAAAATTAAATGTTTTGCTAGATCAACTTGTTGATAAACGTGTTTTGTTTATTCCCTGCAAGAATATGTTACTGCAGTAATAATTGCGTAGTATCTAAATAATGAAATCCCTTGGGAATATTAAGGGGTTTGTCTGCAATCTAATGGGATTATCAGATGATACAGAACCAGTTAGAAAACGTTTTAAATGCAACAGGTTTGACAAATAAACAGTTTCATGAAATGCTCAGACGAAAAAGTAAGAAGTTCGCAATTACAATCCAAACTTATCTATCCTTTTTCAGGGTTTATGACGATTTCTCATCAGATGAAGAAGTACCGGCTCTAAGATCCAACTGGACTTTAAGATCCAAAAAAATTAAACTTAACTTACTAAACAAAGAAAAGAAGAAATCAATAAAAAGTTCTACCATGAAAGCCTCGAAAGTTCTTCAAATATTGTCAGAAAATAAAGAATTATCAGTTACAAGAACCTCTACAACAGTGCAACCTGTGGCTGATGAGAACATGGCAGGCTGTAGCGGAAGTATTGACGTAAATATTAGTTTTATGTTTAACGAAATTTAAATGTTACCGTATTTAGCCCTCTGATTAATTGATTCCTTGGAGCACAGCAATCAGGGTGCCATCACAACATATAACAAGTAACTATTTATTCAACTTCCCGAACATATTATTTGCTTGTTGTCATACATAACTTTATCATAGTAGGATTTAAATACATGGGCATTATCAACATGTAGTTTTGGCTACTTATTATTTTCACATAATATTTCAGGTTACAAAACCCTCAAAGAAATTAAATGAAACATATGAAATTATATCAGATGATGAAGTTGATTCGAATTTTACAAAAGTTAGGGATACAGAAAATTTAAGCGATACAGAGATGATAAATGACTCATCAATAAATCTAGAAGAAAATGATAATCAAACTGAGTCAGATAGTTTTGACGTATGGCTGAAGAAGTTGAATGCTAAACACAAAGCCTATATGGAAAACTCGCGAAAATCTATCAATGCTATACTTCAGAAGTATGCTTCTGTACCAAAAGTGTGTGCGGACTATGAAACTCCCAGCTATAGATCCAGCACCAATGAAAATCTGCAGTCAGAATCTAATGCCAATTATAATAAAACAGACTTTACATCCAATAAAAAATCAAACACTACTTATACAAACTTTGAAGTAGCTGACATTCCTCGTAAAACACCTGACAAGTTGAATACAGACTATATTGAACAAAATCTGGCTGAAACTTTCAAGATGGAAACCTTTGATGAATGGATCTCCAAGATAAAATCAAAATATAAATTTAATTTGCAAATTCCAGAAAGCACAGTTAGCAAAACATTGAATATGAAAAATGAAGAAAATATATTACAATCACAAAAACAACCATGCCAAGATTGGTTGACGAAACATAAAACTGAAGAGTCTCAAGTAATTAATTCTAATGAAAATATTGTATTGCGAGTGAATAATAAACAAAATCAATTTAGCTTGAACCAACCAAGCTGTTCAAAAAATCAAATTAAATTAGACTCTGAGGGCCAAGACACTCTACAAGAATCAGTAGAAAAACTTCTCACAGCACCACAAAAGTCTATGATTGCATCCAAAACGAAAGACGCAAAAAATGAGGTGTATTCATCTGAAGCTGACCTTATCTTAACTAATTTACGGATGAATAGATTAGAGACAGACCTAAGAACATTACAAAATTCTATAGAAAAATCAATTAGTTCAAAGTTTAAGAATGACCTGACTGAAACAAAGAAAAATGATGAAGATCAAGAAACTTTAGACCTACCAGATATAACTCCAGAACAAAACGAATTAATTGACACAGCTCTTAACTCAACACCACCAGACAAAGTACTTATAGAGAAATTCAAATTAAAGATATACAAGTAAGTATTGTTTGATATTAATTTTACTTAATAAAACACACATTATAAAGTAATGTAAATGCTTTTCTTTCTATTTTAGGGAAGATTTGGAAACTCTTTCAGAACATAACTGGTTAAATGATAAAGTAATTGATTTCTACATGAACCTCATAATGCAGAGGAGCGAGGAACAGAATAACTTGCCAAAGGTGTATGCTATGAACACATTGTTCTATCCTAAGCTTATGAAGAGTGGACATGCTGGACTTAAGAGGTGGACAAGAAAGGTACTAAAATTAATCAGTAAATATAAAGTATTGTATTTGATATATATTATTGATATTTTATACGAAAAAGTGACTATATTTTATAGGTGGATATATTTGCGTACGACCTCCTCGTGATTCCAGTACATTTAACGAACCACTGGTGTGTCAGCTTCATAAACTTCCAAACACGTAAAATTGAGTACCTTGACAGCCGAGGGAAAAGCAAACGGCCCTGTTTGATTGCGCTGTTGCAGTATCTGAAGGATGAACATCAAGATAAGAAGGGGGTGCCTTTTGATGATAGTGGCTGGGAGACAGAGTGCCTCAAAGTGAGTTTACAGTTAGAATGATTACAAGCATAAGCAGTCAGTGCTAGCTAATTCATATCTGAAGCGTCGTCGATAGTCGCCTCTTCGGGTCGATTTTCCCTCATTGTTTTTCGTTGTATAGTCTTATTTAGAGGCAAATTAGGTTGATTTTAAATTATTACTGAATTTGTCTCTTGGCTTTAAATCTACATATTTCCAGAGTAGATGCACATATTAAAAATGTAACACCAACTTTCCACCAGGTAAAAATTGCCTAGAATTGATATATTTTGATTTTTCAGGACATTCCAGAGCAAATGAATAGCAGTGATTGCGGCATTTTCGCGTGCACGTTTGCGGAGTTCTCGTCCCGTAACGCGGCCTATACGTTCACGCAGGCACACATGCCCTACCTGCGTCGCAAGGCCGCGCTTGAGATACTCACCGGGAAACTACTGCTCTAGTCATGGTAGTCATTTTCACAAATAGATGATTAAACCTACTACAAACTGTTATGGCCAATGAATCTAATCATGTGCCTATACAGTATAAAATTGTACCCAATTATGGGTAAGTGATATAATTTATTTATTTATTAAATTGTTCTTTATCTTATCAAGCTTATACATTAGGTTCATCATTAGTATGTTAGGTATTAAGAAGTGTTGTGATAACATATTGTCACATAGTCACATTAGATTTCCATTTATTACTATTTATACTAATGTATAGTAACAACATGGCAGGTACAGTGGCAAGGCCACCGGCTACTGCTTAAAGTGCCGCGGTGTCGATTCCCGCACAGATAAAATCTAGATGTATATTATCTAATGTGATATTAAAATTTTATACATTTATAATTTAGTCACGACATGGGAGATCTTCCTGGCGTGGGGACATACCTTTTTTTAATAAAAAAATTAATAAAACAAACATTTATTAGTGAACAATAACTGGTCTGAAAGTAAAGAATAATTAACAAAAAAGGAATAATCTTCCATAATATAATCTGATTTGTAAAATATCAACATTATACCTAAAAGCTAAAAACATACTTTGTAAAGGAGTATTTATATGAAAGTATTTGTCAAATAAATACAAGTATTTAGTTTAAAAAAATACAAGCTCATTGGTTTTTTATTTCTGTCCGATTCTAACTTACAATATAGTTTCACTTTACTTATTGTACTACTATTTGCCTCATTCATCTACCATTTACAAAAACAATGAAGAATTGATAATTGGCTTCAACTAAACTTCTGACTACTAAATTCAACTAATATTTACAATTTGCAACATCAAAGTTGATGTTTAAACATGTCATAGAGTACTGAGCAGAGCCTGTACAGTGGTAGACCGACCACAGTGAAGTAATCACCTTCCACTCGCTCCACAAATGTGCCTCCAACTCCTTGGATGCCATAGCCCCCTGCCTTATCCCTAGAAGAATAACCACAGATTAAGTGATTACTAATAGTCACTAACATGTTAAAGGTTGCATCAGTCACCAGTGGCCAACCAAAGAGAATTTGCATTCAACAGTTTTCAGTCGGCAAAATCAAACACAAATTCAATAAAACTTACATGTGTTTACCTTAGTCACTAACATGTTAAAGGTTGCATCAGTCACCAGTGGCCAACCAAAGAGAATTTGCATTCAACAGTTTTCAGTCGGCAAAATCAAACACAAATTCAATAAAACTTACATGTGTTTACCTTCTTAATGGGAGTTTGCAAAGGTCTTAGATATATAATTAGATTAAATATTCCATGTATAAAACTTACATAGGTTCTCCAGTAGCTATATAACCTCTGATTTGCTGCTCATCCAGTTTGCCAAAGAAAACATCAGTTTTCTCAGTGAACTTCACAATATTATCTGAGGCTTTAATAACAACTCCTGTATACACAGTATGGCCTCTGCCTGATAGACTGAAAATAAAAAAAAAACATTCAAATCACCCATTTTCTACTCATAGAGGTACCTTGTTCTATCCGAAGATTTAAAAAGAATTTTTTTTTTTTCATTACCGAGATAACATCTCGAATGCTTCAGTCTCTGAAGTAGGTTTACCAAACATCTCTGTCCCCAAAGTGACCATAGTATCAGCCCCTATAACCACATCTGGTTTGTGTCCCTCCGCTGTTAATCTGGTCTCAACTTCTAAAACTTTCTGTAATGCTGTTTCTTCAACAAATTCCCCAAAACTTTTAAATGCATTTGGATCAAGGTTCTCTTCGAATAATGATGGGCGCAAGCCAACTTTGAGACCCTGGAAAGTAATGTGATGGTTACAATTTGTATGCTTTTTTAATGATGATCAGCTGAAACGCTAGGAAAGATGTTTCATTATGAAGATTTTATTATTCAATATAATATTTCTTTGCCTCTTCATTACGTACAATATTTTCGACAAGTTCTTTTCGTCTAGGAGAACCGCTCGCTAATATGATATTTTTTTGCTTCAAAATATGCATTATTGGCTGCAACATTTTTATTTATTAAACACGTTTACTTATAGTATAGTAAATTTTTAGTGTAGTCAAACAAATGTAGTGATTTATTACGAAATTTAGGTTTTAAAAAATACTTATAGGTAAACAAAGACACGTTTTGTCGGCATACCAATTTACCAAACCAAAAAGTTTTGTTTTGACTTAAGTCTAGCTGTCAAAGTCACTACTTCAGAGTTCAGAGATGTCAAGTCAATGAGTCTTCTATTTATATATTTCCTTTGTCCTATGTTCATGTCCAGTGTCCTATTTCTATCCATCAATAGTACACAGTATTTTGTTTAGCGGCTAGGACGTTGAACGTACTCGTTTAGCGATATAGATAAGCAGTGGTAGACCAGTATTTGCATTTTACTCTGGGTATTGATTTTTTGAAATAAAAAATCGGGAATAAGAATTTTTATTGTTTCAAAAATATTCAAAACAGTAGTAGTTATATAAATTATGTTATTCAAAACTTGAAACTTATTAAAATTGTTACATAATTATATATACATCCTTTTAAATGTCATGAGAAAAATGACAAAGTCGATTAACAATCGACTAAAATTACCACAAACAACATACTAACTATTTGCAACTGGTGGGTTACCCTATTGTTGTAATAGAAAAAGGTTTTGTCTATGGTGTTGCACAGTTGTCTTGTATTGAGGTTGTGTAGCGTTTTTTGGCATTTTAGTTAGAAAGGCGACGAAAATAGGTGATGGAAACATAATTTATTGAAAATGAAGTCCGTAGTGGCTTATGTTCGTAATCTTCTGGGTTGGTGTGATGAAACTCCACCGATAAGAACAAGCTTCAAACGAGACAGGTATGACATGACATTACATGTTTACAACATTCGTTATGGCGGCAAAGTCGATGTAAAATAATTCTTATTACTGTGAAGAAATACCACAAAATGTTTAGAGTACCGCTAAAAGTAGCATCTAAGTTTTGGAAGTGGGTCATTACGTTTTTGAATACACGAATAACAAAGCGACTCAAAAGTTAACACGTTTTGTTGGTTTACAGGGCCGACGATGAATTGTCGTCCGACGATGATTTACCGGCCCTCAAGAGACTCAAGCAACTGAAGAGAACTAATTTCCCCGACATCATGGCTTCGAATGGTAATTATTTTCACTTGTAACTGTTAAATACGTGTTTGGTAAATAGAAGACTAACCTAATAAGTATTTCGCACAAACACATACAAACCTCATTTTGTTTGCACAAACAAACAAAATGTGTATAATAGTGTAACTAGATATATGTATTATGAAAACAATTCTCACCTACAAATTAGTTCAAATATTATTTTTTACAGAAGACTGGGAGAAGCAGGAAAACCAAAATAAAAATGTTAGATATATACCAATACAGATAGAAGGTCACGCTAGTACATCAACACCCAATGAGTCACTCAACAAGAGCAGAGTGAGGACTGTGCCTATTCAATTGGTGGGTTTGTCAGAGAACGGACCAGCCACACCGTCAAGAAAACCTAGGAAACATACACCTGTGAGGCCTGTTATACATGCATTAATAGATGATGAAAATGATGATACAGATGTAAGTACTTAAATTGTTTATGGAGGAAATGTTATTTTTTCCTTGACTATTTAATGTTTTAATGATTTGATTTACTTATAATTTCTCTGAATTTTAGGTGACTTGGGTAGAACCAAAAGCAGAGAACCCACCCAAAAAGCCTACAAAAGTATACATTGACTTAGATGAAGAGGATGATCATCATGACAATAATCAGCATGAAGATGATGTTATCTTTATTAAGAAAGTGTCAACTCCACCCCCATCTAGACCATACCAATACTTCCTCAGTAAAAATAGCCATGATACTACTGACGGAACTGTAGAGGAGCCAGTCTTTTATAAGTTAAGTCGGAAGCCAACAGAACGGAGCTTGATGAATATGTCACCCAAAACATTTACAAAATTCAAAGCCCCTCCTGGCATCACAAAGTCTTATAAAAAGGCTCCAACTCCCCTACCAAGGTGGATGCAACCATCAAAACCAACCACATCGAATCTCTCATCGTATTCTAGAAATAGATTTTTAGGTCTCAATGGCAACTCTAGGTCAACAATATCAGAAGTATTCAATTTAAATGAAAAGAAAAATTATCAAGAACTTATTCGGCGAGTTGCAGCTTCAATGAAACCAATGGCGACAGGGAAACCAATTGATATAGTAAATCTAGCTGATGATGCTGCTTCCTTCAGGCTAACACAGAAAACACAAAGAAATGCTCTAAATGAAATTAAATTTGTAGAAAAAGGATTAGCTGCTGAAAGAGACAATGATGCATCAAAAGAATATGATCCCATCACAGTGGCATCCATAAACTCATCCGATTCAGAAGTAGAAGTAGTTCCATCAGAATCATCTACTACATCTTCTCAGAGGATTGATCCTATCAACACATTAAAAGACTCATATAGAGATAAGGCCATTACTGGAGGAGATTGGCTTTTAAAATTAGAATCAAAATATAAGAAAAAGAAACAAGAGACACAGGCAAAGCTAAAAGATGCAACGCGTGAGTCTGATATCATATCAAAAGTAAATAGTGAACAAAGTATTGCTCACCTGGAGCATAAACTGAAATATGAGCTGAGTATACCAGAGAGTCTGTTTGAGGAGCCACAGCCCACTGTAGAGCTACCGGCTCTGACTCCAGAACAAGAGAAATTAGTGAACAGAGCACTGGGACCAGGACCTCCTGGACAGATGCTTGTAGAGAAATTCAACTTGAGGATACACAGGTAAATTTTCATCTCATTCTTGTTTTATGTTTAGCTAAGAAAACTGAAATTAGAGTAAAGTTTATTCTGCACTAGCTACTTCCGCGCGGTTTCACACGCTCTGCTCAGCTCCTATTGGTCGTAACGTGATGTTTTATAGCCTATTGAGGATGGCTTGATAAATGCGCTATCCAACACTAAAAGAATAATTCAAATCAGACTTGTAGTAACGGAGATTAGCACGTTCGTACAAACAAACAAAAAACAAACACTTCCGCTTTATATATAAGATTTATTTTACATTTATTTATATTATGAATTAATTAATCACAACCCTTTCAGGCGGGACCTGCAAACTCTAACAGGCCTTAACTGGCTGAATGATGAAATAATAAACTTTTATATGAACCTGCTGATGCAGAGGAGTGAGGAACGCAAAGACTTGCCGAAGGTGTATGCCACTAACACATTCTTCTATCCTAAGCTCATGCAGAGTGGACAGGCTGGTCTTAGGAGGTGGACGAGAAAGGTAAGCAGCCCTTTTATCATTAAACCCTTTGTTTATTATACCTTACTTAATAAATTATTGTAAGTAATTCCTAAATGAAAATGTTTTAGGTGGATATATTTGCGCACGACCTCCTGGTGGTTCCCGTGCACTTGGGCGTGCATTGGTGCCTCAGTATCGTGGACTTCCGCGCAAAGAAAATCAACTACCTTGACAGTATGGGGGGCCGCAACCAGGCCTGTCTGGACGCACTGTTACAGTATCTCAGAGACGAACATCAAGACAAGAAGGGGGCGCCGTTCAATGACAGTGGCTGGAAGACTGAATGCCTCAAGGTAAATAAAAAAATCCTTTTTTTTTGCTCTTTTAAAGTTAGGTTAAGATAATGTGAAATATTTTATAATATTTCAGCAAGTTATGTGCTGTCTTCAATAATTTTAAATATCTATATATATAAAAGAAAGTCGTGTTAGTTACACCACTTATAACTCAAGAACGGCAGAACAGATTTGGCTGAAAATTGGTAGGGAGGTAGCTTAGAGCCAGGAGACCGACATAGGATACTTTTTAACCAATTTTTTTTTTACTTTTTACCAAAATCACGAACGGGGACGGGAAGAAATGGGATTACGCGTACGAAGTCGCGGGCAGAAGCTAGTAGTATAATAATGTATAGCATTTGCGATGGTAGTATGTGGATTTGACTCCAAAAAAATGTACATATTCCCACTTTCTTTCACAGGACATTCCACAGCAGATGAACGGCAGTGATTGCGGCATGTTCGCGTGCACGTTTGCGGAGTTCTCGTCCCGTAACGCGGCCTACACGTTCACGCAGGCACACATGCCCTACCTGCGTCGCAAGGCCGCGCTTGAGATACTCACCGGGAAACTACTGCTCTAGACCAGTCAATGGTGTGTCTCCATGTTAGTGATATATTTATTTTATTTGCGAAGTTGAGTGCATCCTATGTTTTACGAACTGTACTTATCAGTGCCAGAATGGTGTTTCCTCGTGAAAAGTGTTGTTCTAATAAGTTGGATGTATGGTGATCTCTAGAAGAAACCATTGTCACTGCGCTGTATATAATTAATTTTGTTTATGATATTTTTACTATTGTATTCTATCTTGCGAATTTTCTTAAGTGTTGTGGCAAAATAATCTAAAACTTTATCGATTTGTAAATAGTTTTATTAAATTTTGATGTTCCACAATGAATATTAAGGAATGTTGAACAAATGTAAATAAAAACATTAATGCATATTTACGTGGGTGGACATTATATGTAATGGGGTCATTGTCATTAACCATAACTCATTAACAATGAAGAGTTAAGAGAGTTATTGTCTGTAATAAGTTAGAGAATACACGTTAACGATATTTCCGATAAGACATCGCCAATTTAAATTAAAGGAATTTTAATTATACCTAAGCAAGTATGGAAAGATTATTAGAAAATAAATGTAAAATAAATAAATCACTAACAAAAATAAATTTTAACTAAAACAAATGGACATATTGTCGGTTTTAAGTCTGAGATGATTGTTTATAATATATTAAGTAAGTTAAAAGCTGGTTATATTTAAAATTTGAATTTATTTGTATAATTTCATCAGTAGGATCTTCAAGGTTTTGTGGGTAACATGTGTTGATTTTGAAATTCCATAAGGTTGCACATGTAACGAGCACGGCTCCGGCACGACGTTTCGAATTTGCCCACCGCTACATGCCAGCGCGCGAGTTGTAAGCGCGCCGGCCGCAACGTGGTAGCTTTTTGTCACCACGCCTAGGACATACACGTCTGTGGGTTACGAATACGATGCGGCGTTGTTTCGATTGCGATTGGCGGGCGGATCGCTGGCGGCGCGCTGTCGGCTCGCTGGCGGCGCGCAGTAAGCACGCGGTGCCTCAACTACAACTCGAGAAGACCGGGCCTGACCACACGCCATCAGCTTTTTGAATTGACGTTATGAAAATATCATACGACATACCATTTAAAGTTTATATTTAAATGACAACTTAATTGCTGGGTTGAAGCCGAGCCGGAGCCATGCTTATTAGGTGTTGCGAAGACCTTTAGTTGTCCAGATTACCCCATTATAAATGCAATGTTTTTGACCAAGTCTTCATGTCAAGGCAATATATGGGCGGTGTTGATATCTTTACAATACTTTTGCGGACCTTATAAAGATTCGAAAAACTAAGTAAAGTAACTCTTTATGTACATAAAAATATCTTCCATTCCCTTGTAAGTATAAGAATCAGAAATATAAATCACTGAAGTCTTTAAAGCTGACTTAGTAAGATCATCTTTGCAAGTTTCTTCAACATAAACATGAACTTATTTTGGGTACTGTTGAAAATAGGATCAGGATTAGTTATGCAGAATCTTACACGAATCGTACAGGCTTCAATTTAAAGCATTTAATATATTGAACTTGGTTTTATTATTATCGTTACAACAGTACCTAAAAGATAGTTATACTGAGTACTGTCACCAGTCACGAGACTACAATGTACTTGTCGCTCCTTATGTTAATTTGCAAGTTCCCGTGACAAACAGACAGACACTTAGGGTAATCTTGTTAATAGCTTTGTGATAAAAAAGTATATTAATGTATGTGATGAGTGCATGCACATAATGTGGAGTTGTAGATATAAGTAAGATAGATAGTGTATGGTATGATGCATGTTTTGCTAAGTTTGGACGGAATCTTAATTTAAATGTATTTTAAAAGACCGATGCTAATTAATGACTGCGATTATATTTGTACAAATAATTAGACATTGCAGTAGACCTCATCTCCGTATGACGTCATCCTAGAGATACGACGCCACAGTTTTATGAAATAGTTATACTATGTGACACATTTTTCATTCCTGTTTACTTATCTTCCAAGAAGAACTCGTTTTTTTACTATTTTCTAAGTCCCAAATAATTTATGAAGTATGTTTGGAGGCATGTTTGTCTGTTTGTCATAGTAACAATTTAGTCTTAGCGTTAAGTATCTGTCTGTATTATAAAAATATAGTTAAGTTACACTAACTTAATTCATAATAATTATAAATTAGACATTTTGTTTCGCCTGCAAAAGGCTCTCCGAAGTTTTCTAAGTGATGGAATAATAAATAAAAGAAAATTGAAATCATTTTGCATTTTAATTGTTTTTTACAAAGTGGACGTAACTATACTGGCACAATTTTGTCTCTCAGCAAATTGAATGTAAACTTACTCGTGTGATGTAGGTCCCTGGTGTTCAGTCAGTATTGACTCGCATGAGCCTCAGTTTTCCGCCTTCGAGCAATGCCACACCAGAGTCGTTGGTACCACCACAGTAGTGAAATGATGAGAACACTGACACCAGGCGACCGCGAAGCTGACACTAGAGAAAAATGAGGTCCAGTTGAAATGGAAAAGGTTGGCACTCAAGACGAAATGAAGCCCGAATTTATATCTGAATGGATGGGAAACAAAAGATAGACCAGAGCGTTAAGATGGCCAGATTATGCGATGAAAGATACAAAGAAGTAGTGATAGAAAGAACTTGTAGAATGGAAAAGAAGACATTGGCAAAGTAACTTGGGTTTAGAATCAGATTGCAGAAGACCATTAGATAAATGACAGTACTTTGAAGAGTTACCATAAACCCATTCTGATGCAGCTCATGTGCTCGCACCACATGTGAGAGCTGGTTGGCCAACAGGAACCGATCCAGCGCGTTCTGGTCAAACACATGCCCTGTACCACGCTTGGTGTTGGCGGCAAACCCTTCGTTCGAGGACAACTCTAGCTGCAGAGTCGCTGTTATTTTATTTGGCCTGGACAAATTCATCAAACATTTACTTCAATGAAACCAATAGAACTTTGGTTCATATTGTAAATTCCTATGATAATTGTAGTTGCTTACTTAATAGGATCGTTCCACAATAGCTCCCAAGCAATAGAGCTCTGTTCAGCAGGTTTCGTTAGAGGCACGGGTACCTTGTCGATTGCGGATATGAGAGGACACACCCAAGGCGGAGGGATTCCTCCATGGCAGCAGAACACCTGCCAAATATATGCAGCATATTTAAAGCTGCCTTAGCTATTGTTAATTTTATCTTAATGATCTGAATTAAATACTTTGTCGTCAATAACAGCTGCCAGCGGGAGCACGTCGAATACATTGTTTATAGCATTCCATATTTTCAGACCTTCATTTTCACCATACTTGGCCATGCACTCACTGCAACAATGGATAAGTTATTCGGTAGGTATAGCTTGGGACAGAGGTATGTAGATAACAAAAAATATAAGTAACCAAGAGCTTACTTGTAGAAGGTGAACATCTTCTGTATATCTCGTGTTTCGTGGTTCCCTCGCACCATGAGCACGGCGTCAGGTCGCTGCAGCTTGGCCGCCAGTAGGTATGCCATGAGCTCAGTCCCGTGTGAGCCACGGTCGACGTAGTCCCCGAGGAATAGTATGCGCGTGGCTGCTAGTGCAGGGCCTGACGGCCATAGTGCCGCCTCCATTGTCAGTAGCGCGCTTAAATTTCCGTGTAGGTCACCTGCATCGCAAGCAGCAAGTTTTGGTTATGTACTACGCTTTAGTCCTCACCCTCCTCTGCCCTCCTCTCCAATCCTCAATCCCTTAAAGACCGGCAACGCACTTCTAACTCCTTTTGTCAACCGACTTCAAAAAAAAGGAGGAGTTTCTCAATTCGACAGTCGACTGTATCTTTTTTATGTTTGTTACTCTATTACTCGAAGACGCCTGGACCGATTTCAAATTTTTTTTTTTTTTTAATGGGTACGTTTGTCATTTGGTCCCATTGTCATGAAGTCAGGATCTGATGATGGAATCCCAGGGAAACTGAGGGGAACTTTTAAAAATTATAGGGACGACTAGTGCATTTGTTAATTTTTTCGTTAAGTATTTAAAACCACTACAATCTGATAAAGGTTTGGAGTTAATCTGACGATGGAGCCGAGAGGCAGAGGGAACTCCTCAACTGTTAACTGTAGCTATATTGTGTTTGGGTTTGATTAATTTGTATTGATGAGGACTTTATACCTAAGTGGTATGTAATTGCCAAATTTTTTGCTTTTTAGTTTTTACTTTTCGTTTTGTTGCAGATGGACATGGATTGTGCCGGATGGTATTCCATATAGGTAAATAAGATAATAAAATAAAAAGTCACCGACTGCATAGACAGGCGAGGACAGACGTAGTACTCTGGGCTCGTTAGCACAGATAGGTTTAACAGCTTCAGCCAGACGCAGCAGGAGGGAGCCGAGCGCAGCCTCCTCTGCCGGCGTGGTCCAGGTCCACGCCGGCTTCACCATGTTCACAGAACTACCGCCTGATGGCCGCCGCTGCTGGAAAATGCTTCGCGTCATCCTAACACTGGTTTTATTACTTTAGTAGTACGTATTGCAGGGAACTTTTGTACCTTCATTACACTCATAACTTTCACTCATCTAGTACTTAGGTACAGTTACTGTAAATTATTAATTAAACTAACATGTGGCCTTTCAACATTAGTAGCGAAGTAGTGTACAGCGGCCAGAGCCTCTACAGGCGCACAGCTAGGCCCGAGCACGTCGAACGAGTGCACGGCGTTCACCATCAGGTGAGCGGTCGACGGGCTGACTGCGTCCTCTGTGTTCCAGGAGGAAATGTGCGTTTTACAACTTACACCACCGCATGCTTAAACTTGATAATGTTAATATTGATACCTTGGAAATCGCTAAATTATTGAATTTACGACACTAACTTGAAACTTTTAAGAAAAGAGCGTGCCTACGTTGTTTTAGAAAGCCATTAACGTAGATGGAACTCCTCTGTTTCGGATGTCCATTGGTGGCCTTAATCACTTATTATCAGGCGGTACACCTTCCTACTCGTTTGCTTCCTACGCCATAAAAAAATCAAGCTAGCTTATTAAATAGAAATGTGCATGATGTAGTGATGATGATTGTGACCATTACGACTTGCCGTCAAAGTTATTGAGTTCGAGCAGTTCGTTGGGCGGGCGGCGTCGCATGCGCACGGTGTAGACTGCCACGCTGTAGTCGGGGCGCACGGCGCGGCGGCCAGCCGCAGCCCCGGCCGAGCCCGGGGCTTGATGGGCCAGCGCAGCTACACACGACACGTATACCTACCATCAGATACTGCCGTACGAGGGTCGAGGAACAGGTCCACTCTCAACTTTGTTACCTGCTCCAGCTTGAATTTTCATTGTAGTCGAGGTTGAAGGTTGTGACGTTTCTTGTTCACGTACTCTGAAATGTTACACACTGATATTGAGTGTTCAGCTCTGCTATCTATGTAGTGTTATTGGATTTAACAAAGGTAACCTGAAACTAATTTAACAATTAGATAATTACCTGCCTACTAACGGTCATATCATATCATACATACCCAGTGATCCACCAGGGTATGATAATATGATATGACCGTTATAGTTTAATAGACATACCTACCTACGACTCATATGTCTATCTAGAGTAGCATAGAAATAATTAACTAACTGCAAATCCACAATGTAAGCGGAGATACTCCTGGGTGCCCGCAGTAGGGAGCTTGTTCCTCTCAGGCGGAGCTCACCAACTCCTCGAAGAAACTCAGCTAGAGGCAGCTGGGAGTTTGGCTGCATTCCTAGTTGTCTGGCGATTATGAAATATAGGTACCTAATCAGTGAATTACAGCTGTTTTACAAAGGTGACATGCTTCAATTTCGAACATACCTTAGACAGACATCAGCATCTCTCGCCACACTAAGGGCATCGATGGGTAGTTGTCGCGCGGCGCGGGCAGCTGCCACCAGCTCCTTGAACTCCACATATTCCAGCTTCAGGTCGCGATTACTATCAAAGTACCTGATTGGACGACGTGATCAGAGAAAGGAAGAAGATCATATATCTTTACATGTACCTCCTTAATTATAATAATAGCAATAAGTAACGCTACACGCCACGCCACGTTACCTGAATATGTATCTGCACCTTATTTCAGCTGGTATGCCTGTGTGCTGAGTGGCTGGTTCTAGCGCAGCTGCCCACAGCATCAGCTCTAGAAATGATAGTCCTCCACGTCCAGTTACATCTGCCGCTCTAGTAATATTGAAAATTGTAAGACGCAACAGCAAAATGTGTAGTTAGCTATTGCTTACACGTAATTACAGAATTGAATAATGTCATGAATTATCATTTAAGTAGAATTAGTCATCTAATGCTCACACTTGAATATAAATCCGACGTAGACATGCACTCATAGCAGTGACTTTCGCATCGATGCTACCTACCTAGGTACAAACGTGGTCAGGACAGACATCAGGGAAATAGACTAATTAGCATTTACCTCTTGGTAATATTAACAGAATTACTGAAACAAAGTACCTGAACAGATTTTGGCACTGAGTCCTCTGCCAACCAAGATCTACCATAAACTGGCTGAAGATGTTAACGCTCATGTAAATAGCTGGGTAGACCATGAGCACGAACTCTCGATAAATTCTAATTTGATCTATAACGAGTAAATTATAGAGTAGATATTAAGAATTTGGAAATCAACATTATTCATAGCGATTTGGAAAGAAAAAAACGTAAGAATAAATAACCTTTAGTTACTGTCTATCTGAAATCAGATGACCAGGTTTTTTGTTCCATTTACCTTTCCGAATCTCTGAGTAGGTACGTTCCTGTACCTACCTGAATACGTAGGGTCGTTTTTTTATGACGCGACACACAGGCGGAATAACTTTGTGAATCACACAAAAGTTTCTAGCGTAGGGGATTGAACCCATACCGCGCCACGTTGTGCAGTAACTAGAACGGTCAACAATGTGAATTATGTGTTGTAATAGAAACAATGTAATTATTGACCTTCTCGCGTGTAGCCGGCAGTTTGTAGCAGCTGCAGGTTAGGGGAGGCCATGGCAACTGCCCCACCAGCAACGTCTTGTCCAATCACTATATTCTCCTCACAGATTTCGATCAACGAGCCAGATTCTACTTCCTATAAAAAGTATATAAATTATCAGATTGTAATTTGTAAACGAAAAGCAAATCCAAAAACAATACCTACTCTCCCAACAGTCGGGTAAAAAGATGGGTGCGTTGCACCCATCTTTTGGCTGGATGTATTGCGACATTACGAATCCAATGCCACAACCAACGGGTACAATGTCAAAAGAGTTTCGAAAATTGATTACCTATTTAACGGGCAACCCAGACCCGGGACCACGACCAATAACAACTCGCTGCAATAAATATCTACCTACACCATCCTAACTAGAAAAGTAGTTATTTGGTACCGAATCTTTATCAGAATCTTTCAGCTCGCCATTTGTCATGAGAGCGAAGGCAATGACTTCTGGACTACGAAGGTTGGAGTGAGCCTTCTGCCGCTCCAGCTCTGACATGTTGAGCCACTGCAGCCGATTCCTCATACCCTGGATTTAAGATACTTGTCAAATTATGTATTTGGCTAATCTACTTATCTAACAGTCTAATATCACCAGATTACCATCTAGTTTCAAAAAACTTCAACTTAAGTAACATGCATTAATTTTCGCCCGACTAATTGTTAGCCGTTGCGGACTTGCGGTACCTATACATATAGACCAACGAGACATTGCTAAAGTCCTAAAAACAGGTGAAAATTCATTTTAATGAAATTGCTACGAGATTTAGATTAAACCTTTTTACCTTTTCAACCTGCCTACATAGTCTTAAAAAAACCCTGAATATCTGATACTTACAGCTTTATATTTGAGCCGCTTTTTCACGTCAGCTTTGATGGCCACTTTGTAGACCGCATGGTACACGCAGTTAAGTGAATGGTTCGGCAGCCAGATCTTGTATACCCGCAGAGGATGGCAGTTGGTACCAGCGTCTATGCCGAACAACTACGGCAGAAGTTTCTACTGTAGGATTATTAACTGGTAAGTAGGCGTTGTGGGAAGGTGGCAGATATATGCTATCGAAATTATATAGTTGATTTGGAGAGAAAGATTAAAAATAATCCAAAGTTCTTTTGGTCTTATGTCAAAGCTAGGCGGGGTAGTTCATGCTCGTATCCTGTAGCAATGACTGATGGGACGATAACGACTTCGAACGGGTCGAATATATGCGAATTGTTTGCGCGTTGTTTTGCGTCGGTATATACACATACCAAAAGTGCTGGGGGTGTGGTGTCGCATGACAACAATAATAATCTCTTTTTAAATAATATGCATAGTTACGGTTTAAATATGACATTCCCTGCTATAGAGTATGATTCACTTCTCACTAGGTTAAAGAACTTGGACTGTAATAAGGGTGCAGGACCTGATGGAATACCCCCGGTGTTCATATCGACCTGTGCTAAATATTTGGTAAGCCCACTTCTGTTAATTTTTAATGAGTCCCTTAGGACTGGAGTCTTCCCAGCTGAATGGAAAGTTGCTATGGTTGTACCTATTCATAAATGTAATAGTAAGACAGTTGTAAGTAATTACAGGCCAATCTCGATTCTCTCGACCTTTGCAAAAATATTTGAAGCTCTGGTGTGCCCCTACATTCAAAGTCACTTTAGTAGGTATATTAGTAGTAGCCAACATGGATTTGTTAAAAAAAGATCAACCTGTACCAATCTAGTCACGTTCACTGAGATGGCGACTGAAGCTATAGACTCTAACAAACAATACGATGTGGTTTACACGGACTTTAGTAAGGCTTTCGACCGCGTCCCACATCGGTTGCTGGTGCGGAAAACTTTGCACATACGGGTTAGCGGGTGCCTCGCTGGAATGGGTGCAATCATATCTTGCTGAGCGTTCTTCTTTTGTCGTTGTCAATGGCTTTCGATCTAGCAATTGGAGGGTTACATCTGGGGTGCCGCAGGGTTCCCATCTGGGTCCAATACTTTTTAACGTGTTTATAAATGATTTGCCGACATGTTTCCAATTCTCTGAGAGCTTTATGTATGCTGACGACTTAAAGTTGGGGAGGATAATAGAATCAGAAAAAGATGCCATGCTCCTTCAGAGCGATCTCTGTAGATTGACTGAATGGTGCTATTGTAATGGTATGGATTTGAACGGAAAAAAAGTTTTCATGTTAAGTTTTCTAGAAAAAGCAAAATAATAGGCTTTGATTATTTCATAGGAGGTGACAGAATTCAGGCTGTAGACCAAATTAGGGACCTCGGAGTTTGTTTTGATAAAAGGTTGACTTTCCTCCCTCACCTGGAAAACATTGTGGGGAGATCTTCCCGAATGTTGAGTTTCGTGATAAGAAACTGTAAAGTCTTTCGCGATGTTGGGCTGAAAATCATGCTGTATAATAGTCTTGTGCGAAGTATCTTAGATTATTGCAGTGTAGTGTGGAGACCACATTATGCGGTACATTCCCTTCGATTAGAACGCATTCAGAAGAGGTTCTTATGGCATTTGTTACGCAGGGAGAACAAGATAGACAAAAAATCTTCTTACTTGAACAAACTGTCACATTTCGGGATGGTCTCTTTATCTGATCGCAGGGAACTCTCCGATTGTATCTTTATGTATAAGATTTTAAACAATGGTGTAGACTGTCCACAGCTCTTGAGCAAGGTAAATTATAGAGTTCCTTTTTGTTACCCTCGTAAACAGATAACCCCTTTATACCCACCGCGTCGTAGAACAGTGCTTGGTGCAAACTCACCCATACCACGTCTGAGTCGCGCCCTGAATAAATACTCTGATTCCACGGATGTTCACTTGGACTCGCTTGGTCGGTTCCGTTCCAGCGTGCATAAATGCATATTATCCAATCTACACAGATAGTGGATTATGTACCTATATGGTTTAGTATTTTGTGTTAGAACTAGACTTAAGGATAGTAATTAAGAACTTTTTTTTTATATACACATATTTGTACCAGTAAATGTTGTGGTTACCTGTAATTGTTTGTTACACATAGGCTCATTCCTCTTTGCTTGCTTGTATTATGCTTACTGTAGTTGTGTAATCAAATGTTGGTAACTCTTAATAAATAAATAAATAAATAAAGAAAGATAAACAAATAAAATATCTAGACTTAGCTCGCGAGGTTGTCGACATGTGGAGTGTGGATTCGGCTATCATTGTGCCGATAGTCGTGTCGGCCAATGGGTTAATCCCTAAAAGCCTCGACATCCATCTCAGGAGGCTGGCGTTAGGTGGATGGATCAAGGGCCTGATACAGAAGGCAGTTCTCCTAGAAACGGCACGTATCGTGAGGAGGTTTCTGTCTCTGGAGCCCTAACCACCGGTAGCTTGGACCATGCTCCCGCTACTGGTCGGGTCCTATTTTTTATATTTTTAAATATTATTTTTTTTATGTTGTAAGTAGTATTTAGAAATATAATTTATAGAGAATTTTAAATAAATATATGTAAATAAATAAATAAACTACACTGGAGAATGAGGGATCAATCCAATAGGGCCAAAGTGGCCGACGATATGAGGTAAATGGGTACCTCAAAATTAATCTTATGAGCGGTCATCTTCCAGCAATTCTTCTCGCATTTGCTGGATGGCAGCCATGTTTCTCCACTCGCCTCCTTTGTGAACAAATAACATCGCTCGCTGGGACAATACACAAGAAGGGATACCACATCACACAGATCTTTGTAATTCTTGAACATTTTAGGTACAATTTCTTGCAACAGTTTTTATCATCAAAAATGACAATAGGAATGACAAAATTGTGGATTGTGATAGTATTGTATCCCAAACTCTATGATCCCAACTCTCCAACTCTATTAGGAATACCATCTACTTACTGAAATCATTTACATCCATCCATCAAAAATGAAAACAGGCGTTTGATCACAAGATCGACCCACAAGGGTTTCATCACCGTATACCAAATTGTAACTCAATATAGTCCCTGGAAGTTATACACCGGGGTCGTGCGGTCCATGGCCCTCTACGGCGCCAATAAAACCCTATATAGTCTGCTACACGTAGGTAGGTATCTTTCCATCTAACTTAAAAAAAGCGCGCTAACTGTGATTATATTCTTAGTTCCTTCATTATGTACCTATTAATATAATTTTGTAGGTACCTACATGCCTACCAAACAATAAATCATCAACTGCATACGTAAACACCGAATAATTGAATTTATTTACGAGTAAATAACTATTTAACATCTCACAAAATATCTTTTCTATGATCATGTCGTGTATATAAAACCAACAGATGTCACTAGGATCGCAAATGCTCTACATTGGAAGTGCGAAAAGTTTATTTTGATTAACTACATTATTCTACTTGTATGTTTATAAAAAGACGTAAGGTTAACACTTTACTAGTATTGCAATTACACTAGGTACCTCATTACATCAGTATTAAACTGTAAATTCATCTATATATTTCATTGTCAAGTTTTATTGATTAGTTTCTGCCCCGGTTCAGTACTAGACAGTACTATAGATCTCTATGGCGGTATATAATGGTGACGTAGGGATCACGCCACCTTCTTCATGCCTATTCTAGCTCTATGATTGGTCGGAATGTGTAATCCCCCACCCCAAACAAAAATACGACACATTCAACACGTTTAGTGCTTCCATCTGTTACCGATATAAAACTCGATATCTAAATCGATTGAACATTGACTCATTTATTTATTTAAAAATCATTGCAGTCCTTATAAAACCGGAATTCACAGCTTCATATAATCTATACCACAATTTATTAAATGTGAACTGGACATCACGCTAAAAATCACTTTGTAATATCCTTTATTCAGTTTTTAATCATTCCAAATCGATTGAATCGAAGTAATGTCAAATTGTGAAAAGAAGGACAGCACTGACTAGTTCGGATTTGCTGGACGTTAGGAATCCCGCTAGTGTTTACCTCGAATTTATTTGAATATTTGGTGATAATTTACAAGTGTATTTTACACAGTGGACCTGTGAGGACGCTAGGTAAGTGTTTTACCTCAGTAATTAGTTATGAATGACTTACATATTTCACAGGCCAACTGTAAAAATATAACCTAAAAGAAAATTCTGTGCGAGAGTTCTTCTCTGAATTTCTCTGATTTAATGAACCCGAAGTGAAAAAAAAAACAGCAGATGTCTGAATATATGTATTTCAAATCATGTTGTGAGATTATGTTGATATTATGCCCTATTTTTGTCATAAAAATACCCACGTATGTGAATTAAGGTGGAAGATTTCTACAACATATTAGTTTCGTAATTATAATGTAACAGTCAACGTCTAAAAGAGACACGTAAATTAATAAAAGACGTGTATAAATACGACGCCACCATATGGGCTTCAAGAATTATTGTTTTGGTATGGTTTTAATTAGATATCTTCTAAAATATTTGTAACAGAATCTTGTGACTGCATTTGGTGTTATTATTTATTTATAATTTTATCGAGACCAAACAATAGATAAGATTAGTACCAGGTGATTTTTATACTGGAGTAGCTGATAATAGATATTTAGAATTGTGGGTAATATTGATGAAGTTGTTATAATAAAGAAAACTGTAGGATTATATTAGAATTTAGACACCTTAATCAGTAAAGTAACAGATTTATTTGGTAGGTACTCATAAATAAAAATTATGAATTTTGGGATAATATCATTATCCAGCATTGCGAGATAATGTTGAAGTCTTGCATTGTCTTTCATTAAAGTAGTTATGTTCATAAAACATACCAACATATTGTATAATTACACTCTAAATTAACTTTAAATACTCAATTAATTTTGACACCAGTATTCCATTGTTATGATTATAAGAAAAGTATTCATAGTCTTCACATTTACCTATTGCGCTATTGTCACCACTGCAGAACTGCATAGTTGGAATCCGCTAACTACTTCCACTGCCTTCAAACGCTGTTGCAGTAAACTTCCTTTCCCACCCTACTGTTCAATATTCAAGTAAATGTATTACAAGTAATTTATTTTCTTTGTTTAATTATTTATTTAAATGAACATGTACTACACATAGTTTTACATAGATTAACCTAATAGTCTTTGATAAGTAGGTGTAGTAAATCAAATTAATTATATATTACTCACTAGCAAAAAATTAATTGAATTTATGTCATCATAATTTTAGCAAGTGTCGTAATTGGTATTATGGACTTTAGTGGGATATAATTTAAATATAGTTTTGCCTATCAACGTCACGGTGAACAAGCAAATATTTCAAAGCGCTGAGTGATATTGACCATGATTTGTCATAAAGGTTTCACTTTTTATATCTGGGATATCTTATCAGTATAGAATGATTTTCAATGTTTACCTAAATGTTTACTTAGGGATTGGTTGGGTTATTTGGTTATAGATTATACCACACTGATCTTTGCATTTGAGGAATTTATAGATGCATGTTTTTTGTTCCGTAAAAAAAATAGTTTTCAAATTGGGTAACACTCCATAACTGGTTTCTTAAGACGCAATTTTTTTCGCATTATAGATACGAACATGTAATTAACGTTTATAATAACTAGGTATCTATAGATGATAATACGCATAATTTTCGATAACGAGTTGTTACTTCAGGCCACATAATCTAAAGTTGCGTGTTCGCACGGCGGGGTCACGCAAGGCCGTGGACTTCGCGCTTCCCTCTCAAGTCCCCCAAATTGAGAACATGGTTCGTCACACGCGCACGTGTCGCTTGTCGCGATCGCCTGCTCACACCTGGGCCGGTGTAGGGGAGACGTACGCACTGTAACGTGTGTTTATGGTTTATCCTGACTAGACTACGGATTGTACTTTTGTTATTGGTTTAAATTGTTAGTAGTTTGGTCCATGTTCCATTTTTCGTGTAGCTTTTAATTATTTTCAGCGTTTTAACTTATTGAAAGACCAGTGATGAGAATACATAATGGGTTCTATAGTTTTAGCTAATTGATTTATCATACACTTAAATTAATCCGCGAACCACTCGCCGTACCGTGCATACTTAATGATTGGTTTTCGCAACTGGTATTCGAAAAAAAACTAGTCGAAATTAGACTTTGACTTTGTTTTGTAGGAATTAGCAGAAAAAAATGCTTATAATAATTACTGTTGTGGCATTAGCATCCTTCAAGGATCTTGCTCAAAATCCAGTTCGAGTTAAATAGAAAGAACCTTTCTTGCAATGAATATGATGTAATAAAGTTCACAATTTATTATTTCGTTAATAGTCTGTTTTGTTTTCCTCCTTCGGAAACTCATAGTACTTCCTACTACCAATGAATGGATAGTCTAGTATTAGAAATCAATTTAAAGGAGAAATGAAAGACCCATAACTTAGTGAAAGCTTTTAAATCTCAATCACGTCGCGACAGCTTCAACATCTATCTTCGAAGCGCTTAGTGAATTATGTTTTAAATTATGAGATTAATTTTGTTAAAAGCGCATCGTAATAATTTAAGTCCAATTTCATCCAAGAAAAGAGGTACTATTGAGAGACGATAATAACAGTGTTCTACAAAACTACGGTTGACTGAAGAAGACAGTGTCCCTGTTCATATTGTTTGTGGTGCAGTAACTTAGACATGACTCGAGTAAATACCAGCCCGGCCGTTTCGCTTGACAAGCCAACTAAATCACCACAGTAACTAGACGAAAGTGAATATACTCGGTGTTACAAGTTTTGTAAGGCCAAGTATTTGTAATATTAAGTTTTGTATAAGAATTCCTTTGTCTGCTTGCTCAGTTAGTGCGAAATGTTTAAATATTGATAACCTTTCGTTGTCTGCCAATGACAAATAACTGCAAATATTGTATTAAATGCATCGACCTCCCAAAATAACATACCTCCAGTTTCCTTTTGATGTAAATAAGGTATCCAGGTACTAAACTACCGTAGCCATGGACTGAGTGGACGGATTATTTTAAATGGTGCAAATTTATGGACATATCACCTCGCTTCGTTGCTTGTTTGTTACATTTTTCTGACTGATAACTCTCATTATACAAATTTGCGGTTGTCTGTATGATCATTTATCTTGTTTTTCATAGTTTAAACCGAAACACCAGTCAACCAGTCTCTCAATAATTTCCCAAGGTCAGTAACTCATCGGACGAAATGTTTTTGTCCTAAGACCCTTCCACGGTCTATACAAATCATGCTTGCGATCCGCATTATCTGTGACCCACTTGTCTTTAGATAAACACCCGCAGACGTGTCTGTAGGTAAAACCACTTCACCTATACAGCTTTGTGTCGTGTGCGTGTCGTCTCTCATTGTATGATGTGACAACACCTGGACAAACGTTTCGATTCTTTGACAGGCGTGATTGAGTTACAAAATTATGGTTTCAGGCAGTCATTGACGGTTTCACGCCCGATAAATTTTTCACAAAATTCACTGGATACTCTTAGATATTTAATATGATCCCATTCCCACAATTTATCTATGGGTCCTGCCCCCAACGATAACACCCATTTCCAAAGTCCAGAGTTCCAGACATCTCATCATTGTTATCTGCGACTTGTCACCAGTTATCTACTGTCTCCTCTACCGGCAGCTCTTCCAATGATCCCACTGATGTCTTCCGCGTCTGACCTTCAATGGTTATCACACACGGTCTAAAGTTCGTTATAGGCATAATTATCAGCTTATTTATTATAAGGAAATAACAGTAAAGTGCGATTTTTATGGGTTTGATG